GCCTGGGTGCGTGACGACGGGGCTCATAGGTATACGAAAACATGTGCGCGAGTAGTGCCTGATGTGCTGGCGTGCTATATGTGCGCGCGCGGCGAGCGCATGTGGGCGCATGGAGTGTATGATAAGGCGCTGTGGATTTCTGTTGTCGTATAAGCAACATCCCATCCACTGCCCAGCATCTTAGCACCTTGGCCACAGATGCCGAAACCCGGCGTCCTGGACCTACTGGAGGAAGCCCTCGCAATCGCTCCGTCGCCCGCCAGCCGAGTGAAGGGTTTGGGTGGGCGTGGGACTTTCGCTCGCCGGCCTCGCCCGCGCGACCAACCCCGCCGCGCGATCAGATCTGACGCGCGGTGCTCGGAAACGCGCGGCCCTGCGGGGCGCGGCCCAGAAAGCCTGGCCGCGCATTGCCTTCGGGCCACGGCGCAGCGGGCGTCCGCCGCCGCGGCGCCGCGTGTCTGACGCGGCCGCGCGCCGCGGTCGCGGCGCGAGCTGGTGGGGGGCCGCGTGCCGCAGCGAGGGAGCGGCGTCCCCCGTGCAGTCGCGGGCGGCGTCGACCTGGCACCGTTTGCTGCGCGACGGCGCGCGGCCCCTCTCTGGCGCGGCGCCCCCGCCACCGCGTTTCCCAAAGGGGGCGCGCGACGCGCCCGCGACCTCGCAGAACGCGCTGGGCGAAATTACGCGCCCAAGGCCTCGCAGCGCGCCGCTGCCAGCGCGGGCCCGCGAATTGCCTCCGTGACGCGGGGGGGGCCCCGCTCCATGAACGCATTTGTGCTGGCGCCGCCCGACGCCTCCAGGGCGGGCGCGCGCAGCGCCCTCCATCGGATGCCGCGTCGCATGGGTTCGCATGAAGCCCGCTGCATGTTGGCGTGGCGGAGTCTCCATCCGCCTCGGCCCCCTCCCCCTTCCCCCCCCTCGTCATCGTCCTTTTCCTCCTCCTCCTCCTCCTCCTCCTCCTTCTCCTGATCGGAGTCCTCTTCCTTGTGCTCCTGCTCTCCCTCATCATTCCCTCGCCCTCCAAGTTACTCCATTTTTCTCCTGTTCGTCCTCCTCCTTTCCACCTGCTTTCCCCTCTCCTCCTCCTCCGCCTTATCTTTCTGTCCCATGTCCTGCGCCTCCTCCTCTCCTCCGTTTGCAGCTACTCCTCTTCCTACCTCCTCCTCCTCCTCCTCCTTCTCCTCCTCCCGAATGATCCCAAAGAGGTCTCCGCGAACGTATGGGCAGCTGTTCTCCACCGTCTTGGCAGGGATCGTTGCCCAAAGGCAGCTCCACCTACGGCCCGAAAGAGAAGGTTCGCATGGCGTCTTCACGCCCATGTCGGCACACCCCTCACACGGATCGCGCCCCACAGGGAGCTCCACCGACGGCTCCAGCAGGAGGGATCGCATGGCGCCCCTCGGCAGATTTCGGCGCACCCCTGACGCGGATCGTACCCCGCAAGGATCTCCATCCATCGCACCCATGGGCAATCTCGAGTGGCGTCCCCACGCCCGTGTCGGCGCCGCTACACGTGGATGGCGCTCCGTAAGGAGCTCCACCTACAGTGGGCGCACTCTCGCGCGGCGGCCGCCCCTTTCGCGCGGATCGCGTCCCACAAGGACACTAAGAACTCAGCGTGCCTGGGCGCGCCAGCTGCGCAACGACCCGCTCTCTGGTCTACCCCGCGTCGCGCAACATCTGAAGAGGGAGCCGCGCCCTGCGCTACACGCAGCTGCAGAGGGGTGGGCACTTCGCCGGGCCAAGCGATCTCTCTTTTCTCTTACCAGCACACGTACATGAGCACATACATACAATCGTGCATGCATACATACATGCGCACGCTCGTACTTACTCATGCATACACACCTGTGCCGATCAGGCGGCGCCCCAGGAACGGGCCTAATACGTTGTGGACGATATTCCTCTTGTATACGTATATGGAGGTTTCTTGGGAAGTCTCTCGGAAGCCCGTTTGGGGCCTCTTGGGGGTCTCCTGAGTGCTTCCTGGGGCCTCCTAGGGCCTCCTGGAGGCCTCTTGGGGTCCCCTTTGGGGCCTCTTCAGGCTTCTTGGGAGCATCTTGGGCCTCCTGGGAGCCTCTGGGGGCCCAATTACCGGGGGCCTCTCGGGGCCAAGGCTCGAAATTTGAAATTGACTTTCCCCCTCTGGGGCACATCTTGGGCCAGTCCTGGGGCTCTCTTGGTCTTGGGCAGTCCTGGAGCTCTCTCAGGGGTCTCCTGGGTTGTCTTGGGGGCCTGTTGGGCCGTCGTGGACGCTGTCAAAGCCCAAGAGGCGAATATGCAAAAAATGCACGGTTTCCGCAGGGAATGGGACGGTTTTGCTTCTTGGGGCCCTCTTGAGGGGACTCTTGGGGAGCCTCTTGGGGCGCCCTGGGGCTGTCGCGGTGTCATCTGTAGCTGTTTCGGAGCTCTCGTGGGGCGCTTTGGAGGGCCTTGAGGGCCAGTCGCAGCCTATCTTGGGTGGTCTTGGAAGATTCTCGGGTTTTCTGGGGGCCCGGGGGCCGCCCGGAGAGCGCCGCGGGGCGGGGGGGCACCGTCGCAGAAGGCAGGGGGCCGCCCTGAGGCCCCAGGGCGGGGATCTCCCGTGTATGTATATTTTCAAGTATCCCGGCAAAGCAACCTGACAGCGACGTGTAGGAGCATATCTGGAAGCATTCCCCCCAAGATTCAGATGAGAATCCTGTTGTAGAATTCTGCTGTTCTCGCAGTCGTAGTCGCATTCGCGATGGCAGTCGCAGTGGCAACGGCAGTCGCAGTCACAGCCTCAGCCTCAGACTGCCTCAGCCTCAGCCTCAGCCTGCCTCAGCCTCAGCCTGCCTCAGCCTCAGCCTGCTTCAGCCTCAGCCTGCTTCAGCCTCAACATCAGTCTGCCTTCAGCCTCGGCCTCAGCCTCAGCCTGCCTCAGCCTCAGCCTGCATCAGACTCAGCCTCAGCCTCAGCCTGCCTCAGCATCAGCCTGCCTCAGCCTCAGCCTCAGCCTGCCTCAGCCTCAGCCTCAGCCTGCTTCAGCCTCAGCCTCAGTCTGCCTTCAGCCTCGGCCTCAGCCTCAGCCTGCCTCAGCCTCAGCCTGCATCAGCCTCAGCCTCAGCCTCAGCCTGCCTCAGCATCAGCCTGCTCAGCCTCAGCCTCAGCCTGCCTCAGCCTCAGCCTCAGCCTGCTTCAGCCTCAGCCTCAGTCTGCCTTCAGCCTCGGCCTCAGCCTCAGCCTCAGCCTCAGCCTGCATCAGCCTCAGCCTCAGCCTCAGCCTGCCTCAGCCAGCCTGCCTCAGCCTCAGCCTCAGCCTGCCTCAGCCTCAGCCTCAGCCTGCTTCAGCCTCAGCCTCAGTCTGCCTTCAGCCTCGGCCTCAGCCTCAGCCTCAGCCTCAGCCTGCCTCAGCCTCAGCCTCAGCCTGCCTCAGCCTCAGCCTCAGCCTGCCTCAGCCTCAGCCTCAGCCTGCTTCAGCCTCAGCCTCAGTCTGCCTTCAGCCTCGGCCTCAGCCTCAGCCTGCCTCAGCCTCAGCCTGCATCTCAGCCTCAGCCTCAGCCTGCCTCAGCATCAGCCTGCCTCAGCCTCAGCCTCAGCCTGCCTCAGCCTCAGCCTCAGCCTGCTTCAGCCTCAGCCTCAGTCTGCCTTCAGCCTCGGCCTCTGCCTCAGCCAGCCTCAGCCTGCCTCAGCCTCAGCCTGCCTCAGCCTCAGCCTCAGCCTGCCTCAGCCTCAGCCTCAGCCTGCAGCCTCAGCCTCAGTCTGCCTTCAGCCTCGGCCTCAGCCTCAGCCTGCCTCAGCCTCAGCCTCAGCCTCAGCCTCAGCCTCAGCCTGCCTCAGCTCAGCCTGCCTCAGCCTCAGCCTCAGCCTGCCTCAGCCTGCAGCCTCAGCCTCAGCCGCAGCCTCAGCTTCAGCCTCAGCCTCAGCCTGCCTCAGCCTCAGCCTCAGCCTGCTTCAGCCTCAGCCTCAGTCTGCCTTCAGCCTCGGCCTCAGCCTCAGCCTGCCTCAGCCTCAGCCTGCATCAGCCTCAGCCTCAGCCTCAGCCTGCCTCAGCATCAGCCTGCCTCAGCCTCAGCCTCAGCCTGCCTCAGCCTCAGCCTCAGCCTGCTTCAGCCTCAGCCTCAGTCTGCCTTCAGCCTCGGCCTCAGCCTCAGCCTGCCTCAGCCTCAGCCTGCATCAGCCTCAGCCTCAGCCTCAGCCTGCCTCAGCAGCCTCAGCCTAGCCTCAGCCTCAGCCTGCTTCAGCCTCAGCCTGCCTTCAGGCCTCAGCCCTCAGCCTCAGCCTCAGCCTCAGCCTCAGCCTCAGCCTGCCTCAGCATCAGCCTGCCTCAGCCTCAGCCTCAGCCTGCCTCAGCCTCAGCCTCAGCCTGCTTCAGCCTCAGCCTCAGAGCCTCGGCCTCAGCCTCAGCCTGCCTCAGCCTGCCTCAGCCTCATCAGCCTGCCTCAGCATTCAAAATGTGGCCCGGGAATGGAGTTCTGGGAACTCGAAGAACACGAAGTGGCCTGCAGTTGGCTCCGGGCATTCAAAATCATGCCCAGGAGTGGAGTTCTGGGAACTCGAAGACCACGAAGTGGCCTACAGTTGGCTCCGGGCATTCAAAATGTGGCCCGGGAATGGAGTTCTGGGAACTCGAAGAGCACGACGTGGCCTACAGTTGGCTCCGGGCATTCAAAATGTGGCCCTGGAATGGAGTTCTGGGAACTCGAAGAGCACGAAGTGGCCCACAGTCAGCTCTGGGCATTCAGAATATGGTCCGGGAATGGAGTTCTGGGACCTCGAAGACCAGTGTGTAACTGTTGGCTAAAAAAAATCCCCGGCACTTCCCCGGATCGCGCCCAGACCCCCCTGGGGCGTCATGATGCTTTCTTTTGACCCTACTAGAAACCTATCAGTCTTCGCTGTTAGGTAAAAATTCACCGTTACGCCTGGGCCTGCATCCCCTGCCCTCTAGACACGGTCGTACGCAGACCCCGTGCAGTCCCAAGGAAGCGTAGCGACATGAGTACCTCCTTCCCTTCTGTGACCGTTGCCAGCCCGCGCGCCTCGGTCTCCACCCTCCGGGCCACCGTGCCGCAAACCTCGCCACCCGCCTCAGCGCGGCGCCCTGTGCGCGGCGCGGGCGCGGCCGGCGCCGCGCGGCCCGCTGTGCGCGAGGCGGCGGGCCTGAGGTTGGCCAGCGCCGCCGCCGCGCAGCCGGCGCCCGCCCACGCGGCGGCCGTGCACGGCCGCCGCTCAGCACCCGCGCGGGCTGCCGCCGCGCGAGCCCGCCGGCGCGCGGGTCTGCCCGCCGCGGCGGCGGCCACGGCGGGGTGCGGGGGCGGCGGTCGCGCGGAGGGGCAGCTGGAGGCCGCGCTGGGCGCCGCGGCCAGGGCGCCGAGCGCCACGGCCAAGGCCGCCCTGGTCGGGGTCGAGAAAATGTATGGCTCACGCTGACCAGGTCACCAAAAAATTCGCGCACCGCGCCCCGCAACGCGCGGCGCGCGGTCATCTTCGCGCCCTCGCGCCACCCTCCCTGGAGAATGGCAGCCGCCCTGGCCCAGGCAACGACCCGCGACTGTTTTCGCGCCGTATGGTGACCTTAGCTGCCCCGATACACAACACGCAACACGTATCGTATTGACACGGAACTCAACACGTAGGTTGAAAACGTAGGTCCGACGCGATACATTCGCCAAAACGTGGTCCAATACGTGGAACCAACACGCAACGTATTGACACGGACGTTTGAACACGGGACGTGTTGTTTTCAAGACGGGCGTATCGAGGCAACTCAGTTGGTAATTTGAACTCGCAGCACCCCCGAAACAAACTGGGACCATTGAGTGCCGCCTCGTGTGGCGACGGAGCGGGCCGATCCGGTGTGGAAGCGGGACTGGTCGCTGTCATCGGAGCGAAGTTAGATCCGTGCCTGCACTTCCTCGACCTAGACACTACCCAGCTGCCCGGCGTGCTGGCCCCCTCCTGCGCTGCCCCCCGCCGCTGGACCTAAACGTTGTTGTTCGTGTTGTTTTCGTTTTGTTGTTCGTTTTGCTCTAGATGTTTTCCTGTAGTTTCCTCCCTCCCCAAACAAACAATTCACCAGGCGAGAGGCCCGACCATCTGCAGTTGTGAGTACCGCAATTGTGAACATTTTTTCCGGTAGCACTCCCCATGGGGCCACGAGCCGCATGAAGGGCGCGCCGAATTGCGTGGCGGGGTGCACAACGCGAGCGAACACGATAGGTCGACTTACGAGAGACTGACCGCGGTTGAGTCTGAGCGCGAGTGAATCTGAGTGTGACAGGGTCTGCGTGCGAGTGAATCTATTTGCATGAGTGCGAGCATGGCCACGCCTGGTGTGTATATATGTATGTATGTATGCATGCATGCATGTATGTATGTATGTATGTATGTATGTATGTATACATATGAACGTGAATGGTTCGCGCACGCCGGACCCTGAGTACTGGTGACACTGAGCGTGGCTGCCGCAACAAACTTCCCCTGGAGCCCCGACAGCAGCGCCCGCACGCCGCGACGCCCATGTCGGCACGCTCCTCACGAGGATCGCGCCCGCTTCCTTCCCGTTATTGTTCTCCCTCTTTGTCCGCGCGCGCCCATGTCCAAGGCTGCGGGCGCGGCGCCGCACGGAGTCCCCGCGACGCGCTTTGGTCGCCCCGGAAAGGTCCCGGCGACGCGCGCGGGTCGTCCGCTGCGCGGAGAAGAAAGACCTAGGACCTAGCTGGCTGGCTGATAGCGGGCAAGGCTGGCCGCTGGGAAGAGCGACGACGGGGGCGAGCAAAGCTCCGGACAGAGCGCGGCGCGGAATTCCCGCGACGCGCGCTGGTCGCCCCGAGAGGGTTCAAGCGACGCGCGCGGGTCGCCCGCGGCGCGAGGCCGAACAGTCAGACCGTCGAAGGACGGCGAGGCTCGGGCGGGCCGCTCCTCAGGTCAAGCCTCGCGGATAAACTCGGAGAAGCTCAGTTCCCTGGCGAGGGCCGCCGCCTCTCTCCTGCACCGTTTGTGCGCGTGGCAAACTGCTCCAGCTGCTTCCGCAAGCCCTTCGGCGGCCCTGCCAGGAACTCGATGCAAACTGCGCCACTGGGACCTTAGGAGGAGTCCCCTGTGGGGTCACGAAACGTGAGAGGGGTGTGCCAAAATGGGGCGGCGGGCTGCGGCGCCATGCGAGTTGCGCCAGTGAGACCTTAGGTGGAGCTCCGTGTGGGGCCACGAAACGTGTGAAGGTTGTACCCACATGGGACGGCGGCGCCATGCGAGCTGCGCCACTGGGAACTTACGTGGAGCTCTCCATTCGGCCACGAAGCGTGCGAGGGGTGTGACAAAATGGAGCGGCGGCGCCATGCGATCTGCGCCACTGGGACCTTAAGCGGAACCCCCTGTGTGGTCACGAAACGTGAGAAAGGGTGTGCCAAAAATGGGGCGGCGGTGCATGTGAGCTGCGCCACTGGGACCTTAGGAGGAAGTCTCTATAGGGCAACGAAACGTGAGAGCGAGTGTCAAAAATGGAGCGGCTGCGCCATACGAGCTGCGCCACTGGGACCTTACATGGAGCTCCCTATGGGGCCACGAAGCGTGTGAGGGTTGTGCCAAAATGGCGCGGCGGCGCCGTGTGAGCTGCGCCACTGGGACGTCAGGTGGAGCTCTCCATGGGGCCAGGAAGCGTGTGAGGGGTGTGCGAAAATGGGGCGGCGGCGCCATGCGAACTGCGCCACTGGGACCTTAGGAAAAGCTCCTTATGGGGCCACGAAGCGTGTGAGGGGTGTGCCACAATGGGGCGGCGGCGCCATGCGAGCTGCGCCACTGGGACCGTAGGAGGAGTTCCCTTATAGGGCCACGAAGCGTGGAGAGGTGTACCAAACATGGGGCGGCGGCGCCATGCGAGCTGCGCCACTGAGACCTTAGATAGGGCTACCTGTGGGGCCACGAGGCTGGGAAAAGGGTGTTCCAAACTGGGGCGGCGGCACCATGCGAGCTGCGCCACTGGGACCTTCGGAGGAGCTCCTCATGGGGCCACGAAGCGTGCGAAGGGTGTGCCAAAATGGGGCGGCGGCGCCATGCGAGCTGCGCACTGAAGCCTTAGATGGAGCTCCCTATGGGGCCACGAAGCGTGTGAAGGGTGTGCCAAAATGGGGCGGCGGCGCCATGCGAGCTGCGCCACTGAGACCTTCGGTGGAGCTCCCTATGGGGCCACGAAGCGTGAGAGGGGTGTGTGAAAATGGGGCGGCGCCATGCGAGCTGCGCCAGTGAGACTTTAGTTCGAGCTCCCTATGGGGCCACGAAACTTGAAACAAGGTGTGCCAAAAATGGGGCGGCGGCGCCATACGAACTGCGCCACTGGGACTTTAGATGGGGCTCCATGTGGGACCACGGAACGTGAGAGAAGGGGGTGCCAAAATGGGGCGGCTGCGCAATGCGAGCTGCGCCACTGGGACCTTGGATGGAGGCCCCCGTGGAACCACAAAACGTGTGGGGTGTGTGTGTGCCAACATGGGGCGGCGGCACCATGCGAGCTGCGCCACTGGGACTTTAGGAAAAGCTCTTTATGGGGCCACGAAGCGTGTGAGGGGTGTGCCAAAATGGGGCGGCGGCGCCATGCGAGCTGCGCCACTGGGACCTTAGGAGGAGCTCCTTCTGGGGCCGCGAAACGTGTGAGGGGTGTACCGAAACAGAAACAGTATGAAGGCAAGGGCAAGGACTGGGAGAAGGGAGGGGGGGAGGAGGGAGGAGGAAGAGGAGGAGGAGGAGAAAGAGGAGGAGGAGGAGGAGGAAGAGGAGGAGGAGAAAGAGGAGGAGGAGGAGGAGGAGGAGGAGGAGGAGGAGGAGGAGGAGGAGGAGGAGGAGGAGGAGGAAAGCGGAGGAAAAGGACGCGGGAGGGACGCGGGGCGCTGTCTCTTCAAAACGAGGACCCAACCACAGGATGATTGGGAACAAAACGTAACCGCAGTCCAGCGAAACAGCGTTTAGGTTTAGCCTTGCTGCCCCCTGGCCTCTCGAGTGAAGGGCGACGGGGCCGGGGGGACCAGTTCAGGGGGGAACATTCGCCTGGAATCGGCGACGCATCGCCGAGACATCGGCGATGGGCGCCCGATGGCGAATCCGAGAGGCGGGGTGGTCGATCGGACCAATATTTGAGATCAGCCAGCGATTGGGGGCCGATGCGTCCCCCCCCGGAGCCTTTCCCTCTTCACGCTGCCCGAAACTCTCCCCCGCACGGCCCCCTGGCTTCTTTCCGGAGATGCCCGCTCTCCCTCTCTCCTCCTTCCCCCGCGCCGGTGGGCTGGTGCGTGGCTGCCTGGCTGCCATCCGTTCTGCCAAAGGATACGACCGCCCGTGAACCCGCAGCACCAGCTGCTCCCACGAACACGCCTCCCTCTGTCAGCCCAGCGTGGCTCATTGAGAATGTCTTCTTCGGTGGCGCTCCCTATGGGGCCACGAACCGTACGAAGGGTGCGCCGAATTGCGTGGCGGGGTACACGACACGAACGAAGACGATAGGTCGAATTACGAGAGACTGAGCGCGGGTGAGTCTGAGCGCGAGTGAGTCTGAGCGTGGTTGGGTCTGCGTGCGAGTGAATATGTTTGCGTGAGTGCGAGGACGGCCACGCCTGGTGTGTGTATGTATATACATATATGAATGTGAATGGTTCACGTATGCCTGACCCTGAATACTCGTGACACTGAGCGTGGCCGCCGCAAGAAGCATCCACTGGGACCCCGACAGCACCGCCCGCGCGCCGCGGCGCCCATGTCGGCACGCTCCCCACGAGGATCGCGCCCACTTCCTTCCCGTTTTTTTTCTTCCTCTTTGCCCGTGCGCGCCCGTGTCCAAGGCTGCGGGCGCGGCGCCGCGCAGAGTCCCCGCGACGCGCGCTGGTCGCCCCGGCAGGGTCCCGGCGACGGGCGCGGGTCGTCCGTTGCGCGGAGCAGAAAGACCTAGCTGGCTGGCTGATAGCGGGCAAGGCTGTGGCCGCTGGGCGGGGCGACGACGGGGGCGAGCGAGGCTCTGGGCAGAGCGCAGCGCGGAATTCCCGCGACGCGCGCTGGTCGCCCCGAAACGGTTTAAGCGACGCGCGCGGGTCGCCCGCGGCGCGAGGCCAAACAGTCAGATGAGACGGCGAGGCTCGAGCGGGTCGCTCCTCAGGTCACGCCTCGCGGATACACTCGGTGAAGCGCAGCTCCCTGGCGAGGGCCGCCGACTCCCTGCTGCGCCGTTTCGTGCGCGTGGTAAACTGCTCCAGCTGCTTCCGCAAGCCCCTGGGCGGCCCTGCCAGGAAGAACTCGATGCAAACTGCGCCACTGGGGCCCCGAAGCGTGTGAGGGGTCACGAAACGTGAGAGGGGTGTGCCAAAATGGGGCGGCGGGCGGCGGCGCCATGCGAGCTGCGCCAATGAGACCGTAGGTGGAGCTCCCTGTAGGGCCACGAAACGTGTTAAGGGCGTGCCACAATGTGGCGGCGGCGCCATGCGAGCTGCGCCAATGGGACCTTAGGTGGAGCTCCCTATAAGGATGTGGCAAAGTGGGGCGGCGGCGCCATGCGAGCTGCGCCACTCTGACCTTAAGTGAAGCTCGATATGGGGCTACGAAGCGTGTGAGGGGTGTGCCAAAGTGGGGCGGCGGCGCCATGCGAGCTGCGCCGCTGGGCGCATACGTAGAGTTCCCCATGGGGCCACGAAGCGTGCAAGGGGTGTGCCACAATGGGGCGGCGGCGCCATGCGAGCTGCGCCACTGCGGCCTTAGTTGGAGCTCCCTAGTAGGACCACGAAACATGAAAGGGGGTGTGCAACAAATGGGGCGGCGGTGCCATACGAGCTGCGCCACTGGGACCTTAGGTGGAGCTCCCTATGGGGCCACGAAGCGTGCGAGGGGTGTGCCAAAATGGGGCGGCGGCGCCATGCGAGCTGCGCCACTGGGACCTTAGGTGGAACTCCCTGGGGCCACAAAACGTGTGAGGGGTGTGCCAAGACGGGGCACCGGCGCCATGCGAGCTGCGCCGCTGGGGCCTTAGATGGAGCTCCCTATGGGGCCACAAAGCGAATGAAAGGTGTGCCAAGACGGGGCGGCGGCGCCATGCGAGCTGCGCCACTGGGGCCTTAGGTGGAGCTCCCTATGGGGCCACGAAGCGCTGTACTGGGTGGGTGAAACGCAGGGAGGAGGGAGGAGGAGAGGAGGAGGAAGAGAGGAACGCGGGGCACCGTCTCTGAAAAACGAGGACCCAACACCACAGGATGGTTGGGAAATCGAAGCATTGGTTGGCGTTGCGTGACATCGTTGCTTGGCTTTGCTTGGTATTGCATTCCGTTGCTGGCATGGCTTGGAATCGTTGTTTTGCATTGCTTTGCACTGCTTTGTGTCGCTTGGCATTGCTTGGTATTACATGTGATGTGGTTTGCAGTGCCTGGCATTGGCTTGGCACTGCGTGGCTTAGTTTTCCTTGCCATTACTTTGCGCTGCTTTACATTGCGATGCTTGGCATTGATTTGCATTGCTATATATTGGCGTGCGATTGGTTGGCGTTGCTCGGCCTTGTTTTGCATTGCTTGTCCGTGGGGGAATCCGAACAACGTCGGGGGCCACCTGGGCAACTTCGGGTAACCCCGAGAAATGCTAGCCGGGAAGGGCCCTGCGCCCACTGGTTTCTTTCACCAACAAGTAAGACCTTCTCAGGCAAATCCGAGCTGGGGAACTAGTGGAGTCGGCCACAGGGCTGGACCAGTGGGGCACTGACAAAGACTGGAAGAAAGCCAGAGAAAATCTAGAGTCAACCACCGGAGTATGGAGATTGACTTCACATGGCCTCGGCTGGGAAAACGTTAACACGCGCAGGCCCACGCCTGGCGCGGGCGCGGGCGCAAACGCAGTCGTTCGCGTGGTCCGAGGCGCTCGCTGGGGCCCTCATTGCCGGCCGCGCGCGCTGACACCCCAGGCCATTTTGAGCCATGGTGGCTGCTTCGTGTGGATGCTTTCCTCAGCTGCTGTCTAAAGGTGGCTGCATCAAGGGTGGTTGCTGTGGAACTGGGGCCAGGACCGAGGATCCGCCAGGGCCAAAGCAGCGCCAGGGCCAAGACCGCGGGGCGAGGATCTCGGCCAACCAGCCAGCCAGCCTTTCGAGCCAGCCAGCCCCAAGCCAGTCGGCCGACCAAGCCAAACCAGCCGTCTCGACCAAACAACTTAGTCGGGGATGGACAGACCCCCCTTTAGTAAAACGTGGTTTAGTGAAAACGACCTGAGACCCAAACCTGGCGGGCGCAAGCCTGGAAAATAACGGCCACGGCGCCATCTCGAGAACGCCTCGACCAAACAACTTAGACCCTGCTCAGCCCTCCCTGCTCGATCGATCCGGGGCCGGGGCTCGGGCCAGCTACAGAGCAAAGACCTGACGAACAAAAACATTGCAACGTCAGCTTTTGCGTCAGCGAGCGGAGCCTCCGGACAGACGCAAGCGGCGCCTTGAATTGCAAGCGCAACCGACATGTACAAGCATGCGGAACTGCCATGTGTTTGCAGCTTGAGCATTGATGGGTCCGCACGCTCTTGAAATATGGATGGTTCCGTGACGGAGCCATCACAGCGTCTCAAGACCCCGTCAGTCTAAGAGCTCGCCAGCCACAGACTCGCATTAGGTTGGGCATGCCTCCTACAGGCGGATTTGGGAGGAAGAATAAATAAATCAACCGTAATCAAAACTAGTCAAAGCAATAATGGCATATCGTCCCCTGACTATTCTTTGTCGGAAAGATTTAGGAGGATTTTGCCCCAGCATGGGGGCTGTTACGCCAGATTAGGCCGCGGTTTGAGCGGGATAAGCTGTATTAAGCGGGATCGAGCCGGATCGGAAGAGGGCAAGCCTGATTCCGGACCAGGGCAAAGTCAGAATTTTACCTCCCAGGAGTTGCATCCGAAGGTCTCGACCCATTCGTTCTCTGGGGCGGGGCTCTCGTGCCGAGCCGCATTTTGACGGTCCCGGGCCCCGCCGACGGGCCACCTGGAGCCCGAGAATAGGAAGAGATGGCCCGTCGCGACTCTTTCTCACGGCGCGAGGGGGTGATGGGAAGAGGGCGTGGGGCGGGCGGGACGGAGGCGGGGAGGGAGGGAGGGGGCGGGCGGTCGGGGCCGTCAGCTCCGCTGAGGTCTTCCACCCTTGGCTGCGGCAGCGTGGAGCGGGAGGGGCGGAGGAGGAGAGGGAGGGAGGGAGGGGGCGGGCGCGGTTGGGGCCGTCTGCTCCGCTGGGGTCTTCCACCCTTTGGCTGCGGCGGACTGCTCCGGCCCTGCGGACCTCAGAGTGCTGGACCTCCTCCTTCTCCGTCCCCTCGCGGGAGGGATGCGGAGGCAATGCGGAGAGAGAGAGAGAGAGAGAGAGCAGGGAAGGGAAGACACCCCGAGACCTGACGTTCTGGAAGGACCACGGCGCCGTGGGCAAATCGCAACCAGAACTCCTGACCAGCGCCGTTGTGCCGTACTTCTCGAGCTGGATCTGCCTGGGAGGGTCCCCAGGGCCGAAGCGGTGCAGAAGCGCTCGCCGAGGTCCGCGTCGCGAAATGAGCGCCAGTGGGGGAGGGGGAGGGAGGGATCGGGGGGGCCCTTCTGAGCACTAGAGCATCAAACGCATCCTGCAGGAACACGAAAGGGGAGCCGCCCACTCAAGCAACATAGTCGGAGCTGCGTAAACATCAAGTGAACGACGAGCAAAAACGGGTCTTGCGCCAGATGACGCAGCGACCTTTCGCGGCGGCTGACGCGGGCCGCCAGCGCGGCACGCCACACTGGAGACGAGAGCGCCTAATTTCGCACGACCTTGCGCGGGCAGCTTGCGCGCCAATGCCCGCGCAGTCGACCCCCCTTTGTTGGCGACGCTCAAGTGACTATCATGTAGGAACAAAGAAACAAGGACAAGCGGCACCACCACCACCACGACCACCACGACCACCACGACCACCACGACCACCACGACCACCACGACCACCACGACCACCACCACCACCACCACCACCACCACCACCACCACCACCACCACCACCACCACCACCACAACACCCACCCCCACCCACACCCACCACCACCACCACCACCACCACCACCACCACCACCACCACCACCATCACCACCACCACCACCACCACCACCACCACCACCACCACCACCACCACTACCACCACCAACCACCACCACCACCACCACCACCACCACCACCACCACCACCACCACCACCACCACCACCACCACCACCACCCACACCCACTCACACCCACCACCACCACCACCACCATCACCACCAACTGGCGCGAGGAGTCATTGGGGGGGTCCTCCTGGTGGTGTGCTCGCCCCTCCCCGCTCAAGGCATCCCCTGATCATCCTCAGCCCGGGGAGGCACCACGCACCCCCTCGCTGGAGGTGGCCCCCCCTTGGTGGTGGTGTCGTCTCTCCTTCCTTCGAGCCGGGGAGGCGGGCGGAGGGCAGGGTCAGGCAGCATCGACTCGGCAATGGGGATCGACTCGAGACGTGCGTCGGACAGGGCTGCATCGGCACGGAATCGAAGTCGGATCGGGCCGGCTGCGCCGGGATGCTCCACAACGCCATGCAAACACCTGGCCGCACGACACGGGATCGAGTCGGGTCGGCCTGGCCAGAATCGAATCGGACGGGTCGGCTTGGAATGGACTCTGCAGAGAGGGATCCTCCTGCCATCCAGGCGAGTCCGCCCTCAGGAGCGGCAGCAGGCTGGCTCGCCCTCGCAGCTGTCGCCCCCGCGGCTGCTCTGCCTCTCCGGGGTGCCGGGGGATGGGAGAAGTCCAGATGGGGTCCGAGTGCATGGGGTCGAAGGATCGCGCCGCATCGCCGATGCGTCGCCGATGTATCGGCGATGCATCGGCGACGTCGGCGATGCATCGCCAACGTCAGCGTGGGGAGACACGGGCTCCACATCGAGCCGCATCGTCGATGCATCGGCGGTGCGGCGCGATCCTCCGACCCCATCCACTCGGACCCCATCCAGGAGGCCCAGGAGGGAAGGCGGGCGGAGGGGCCCATGCCCTCTCGGAGGCAACCTCCAGTAGGTCTCCGCAGGAGAGCGAGGGAATCGTACAGTCGGGCCGACTGTAGCGGAATGGCACTCGGCCTCGCGCTGGCGACAGTGACGCAGCGACACCCGACAACGGATTACCAGTACAACTGCTGAATTGAACATCCCATGATGGGCGTGCTTCCCCCCACCACCACCACCATAAGTTGGAGGGGGGGTCCTCCTCCGCCTCCTCCTCCTCGTCCTCGTCCTCCTAGCCCTCCTCCTCCTTCCCCCCTCCAACTTATGGTGGTGGTGGTGGTGGTGGAAAACAGGCTCGTCATCCCAGGGAGTTGCACCCCAAGAGGAGGGAAGCGAG